CTTGTTAGTAGATATGGATAAGGCATATAATAAGGTGGGTTGGGCCTTTGTGACCACCACCCTGACGAAAATGAATTTCGGCTCAAATTTTGTGAAAAGCGTAAAAGTAATGTACTCAAAAGGAACCGTTGTTGTCAACGTTAACGGATGTATTCCGGAAGAAATCAACTGTCGCGCTCGCTACGTCAGGGATGTCCATTAGCACCGTTGCTTTTCGTCGTTCAGTTGGAGGTGTTATTAGACAACATCACGTGGAATTCAGGGATCGTGGGGTTGAGACTCTCCCCTACTGTCCATTGGAAAGGAAATGCACTGGCTGACGACCTGACGATTCTATGCAAGAACACGGTAACTTCGATGAATGAGTTGAAAAAGGAGGTGGATGAATATTGTGAATTGTCAGAGGCCTCAATAAATTGGAATAAATCTACCTATATTCTGCTTGAACCTATGATAATTGTTGTTGAATGGGGGATGAGAAGAGTTTTGTAAAGTGACTCAGAGAGGTTGTTGGGAGTTCAGGTCTCATTGGGAAATGCTGCAGCAACGCAGAATTCAGTGTTAGAAACAAAGGTGAGAACAAGAATAGCGGGTTGGGAAAGAGGCTATCAACTTTCACTGTTAGGAAGGGCTCTGGTGATTTCAGCAGCAACACTGTCGATACTATGGTTCCCGTGAACAGTGCATTTGTTGAGCGATCAGGCTTATAGGAATATCAAGAGGGCGGCAGTAGGTTACATTTGGAAACCTTCGGCAAAGGAAGGGGAAGGGTTTATCACCAAGGTGGCATGGGACACAATTGCTCACCCAAGAATGGAAGGAGGGCTAGGGGTGATAGACCCGAAACAGCAGAATGTTGCCTTGCTAGCCAAATGGGCGATAAAGGCGATGTTTGAACAAGAAGAGAAAGTGTGGATGAAATTAGCAGAATATATACTAGGGACAGAATGGAAATTGAAGAATCACCAGGATGTATGGCGATGTCTTCTCCTCCCTTCCTTCGCTAATAAGATCCCAAGATCCCACTTTTGGAAAGGAGTCCTGTCAGCCTGGCGCAAGATTAGACCAGAAGAGCACCAGACACCCTCTTCAAGAGGACAGGTACTGAAGGAACCCCTGTTCGATAACCCAAGAATTCTGCAATCAGATGGGTCGGTATTTCCAGCAGCAGGTCACGGTTCGTTTGGAGGGAATTTGATTGCAAAGAGAATCTTCTCAGTGGGAGATATTTGGGATGAATCGAATCAAGATTGGATGACAATGCCTGTTCTCCGAACCTATCTCCCGTGTCTGCATAACATACGAGCCCACTATCAAGCACTGCTCGCAGCTATCCCGCAGTACTGGAAATCTCTATTGAAGAAGGATTCGGAGCCAGTCAAGGACACATGGTACAGAGCGCCCTCAACAGAGGAACAGTATTGGAGAGTCTTGGGCCCAGATTTACAGCAAGGGTCTAAGATCCAAATCTGGAAACCGGTAAGCACCCCCGATTCGCTGGCGATATGGCAGAGACCACTGAAACTAGTAGATGAAAGATCAGAAGCAGGAATTCTGGATCTGGAAGAAGCCAGGGTCTGGGTATCGAAAGATCAGAAGGGAAAGGAATACTGCCAAGGGGGTATTCGGGCCTCTGAATGCAAAGTGGAACCATTTGTGTATAGTTGGAGATTGGAAACCCAAAAGACGCAGGCAATGCCCATGGTGTATTACTCGACGAGGACAGGGAGGGATTTGAGCAGGTCTAAGATCAGGAATTCCCCGACAGCAGTAGCAGAAAGAAGATGGAAGGATTATTGTCCAAGTATCTTGTCAGCTGAGGACATAAAGAAATCTTGGAGACAACTGCAGCAAATGACGAACCAGAAGATAGCCGCATTGCTGTGGCTTCAGATGTTGCAGGTGGTGCCGGCAGCTGCGTGGCTGCAGGCGCGAGGAATGAAGGTGTCAGCAGACTGTCCCAGATGTAGGTGGGCATGGGAAACCCAGTCACATCTCTGGATTCACTGCCCGGTTTCGATTCGGCTATGGCAGTGGTGGCGGCGACATTGGAAAAGGTTCACGGAGAATTCTTCGGCTGAAACACTGGATTGGACGGATGCTTGGATCTTAACAGGGAAAACAGAGGGGAGGAACTCTTATAACAGAGGATGGGAGTATGTGGCCCAAACTTGTAGAGGAATAATCATGGGGATTCTCTGGCAGACGAGGAATGCAGCACTATTCCAAGGGGAACACTGGACGTTGCCGCAGGCTCAGATAGAGGTCAAAAGCCAGATAAGAAGGATAATCCGTATTGACTGGCAGAACAAAGGAAATTTGTGGTTTAGGAAGACTTTGGCAATCGATGATAGATTGGCTAAGATTCTGGACGAGACAAGGCTCGTGGTAGGGCCTTGGTTGCAGGTATGAGATGTTACAGTCACGTGACGGGGTCACAGTAGACTCTAAGGACAGCACTTTGGATCAGGAGGGAATAAAGATAAGAGAAGGAGAAGCTGTTCGAAATTGTAGCTTCAGTTAGTAGGGGAGGATCATTCCGATAGTTAGTGATACCTGCTGAGAAATTGAGCTAGTCTGTGCTTGATAGCTCTACTATTTTGAGTTGTGCTTCAAGTTTTACTTTTGGAAAGTGTTGTCGGATGGGACGCAGGGCCCGGTTTTCTGCAGGAATTGGATGGAGGTAGCTTATGATAGTTGGTTGGTTAGCCGAGCTGTCAGCTCGTAAGCGAAACTGGCTGAGGCTGCCAGGATAAACCCCGGGTTGAGTTGTGAGGTCCCCGGCCTCGTTCATTGTATTTTGAATGCAAAAGATTAAAAAAAAAAAAAAAAGGCTGTTGCTCTTTTGTCCCACTCCTTTTTCTCCCTCATAATCATCTCTCTCATATCTGTTGGAACGAGGTGCCTGTCATTTCTCACGATGGAGGAGCAGATTCGCGCCGCTGTCAGTTTGGCCACGTACAAAGAAGAGCATGCACACGATCTACGCATACCTTTTTACTGATTCGCTCTCTGCATCGCTTGCACAAGGACGGCCCCTGTCAGGTTTTGGGTCAACAACAGCTTGATGACCATTGCCAACAATATTCCAGCTCTCGGCTTAACACCAGGATTCCTCTCCCCCATCGCTTCCTTCTTCAGAGGCTTCTTTGGCCAGCTCATCAAGGAAGACTTCTTTCATCTCAGGACCAGGGCCATGTTCTGGCATAGGTGAGGTTACCTGTGGAATCTTCTCGTCATAGGTGAGGTTACCTGTGGAATCTTCTTGTCATGTTCTTCGCATTCACCATCTTCTGGTCATAAGTGAGGTTACCTGTGGAATCTGGACAGGATGGTGTTTCAGGCCTTTTTTTTTTGTCATTATAGTATTACGGGGAACCCCGTAGCAGCCACATCCGTGCTCAAGCCTCCAGTGAGGGAACATGGGGGAGCTGCACCCCACCAGCAGGTGGGATAGCCGCTACAGCAGGTGGGAGATGCCGGCCAGGGGTCAGCCGGTAGCATCGGGACCGAGCTTCTTCGATGGGCCAGTCGCTGTGCCTCCCCTCTGGTCCCCTCTTCCTATGAGCATCAGCAGTCTCTGCTCAATGCCACTCGGGGGGACCAACGGCCTATCTCTAGGTGGCCCCCTTGAGGGCGCCAAGCTTTCCCAGGAAGGTACATGAGGCCAATGGGGAGTGAACCCAAGATCTCCTGAATGCCTCCTGAATGCCACTTGCGTGCCGTACCAACTGAGCTAGGACGCTGGATCCTTTTCTTTTTTTTGATGGAGCCCTCGTTGATACAGTACATGGCAGAACTCGTGGCCCCTCGAAAGCGACGATCGATAGCCCGCGCTGACACTCGCAGTACTGGGCAGGACTCCCTTCGCCGAACTCGTGCGCTCACCGTAGGACTATCTTTGCTGATGGTCGCCGCATTTGAGGTCAGGTACGTCCAGGAAGGTCCAGGTGTGAGTATGGTCTACGAGTCCGAACTCAAGCGGGCTAACGAGGGAACTCGCTGTAGGACGCGCCTATGGAATGCGGTTGCGATTGCCGTTCTAACCGTGAGTGCGCGTGTGACTATACCCTAAAAATGCACTCCTGCCGGCAGTCGATGTACTCCTCGTAACAATCAGTTGACTCTCGTTAGTTTCGAGGGTCGTTCCCACTGGCCGACGTGGCCGCACCTCATTCTCATTTTCCGCTCCCGAAGTCAGGGTTGAACTGCCTGACGGCCTGGTCCTTCTCTTCTTCTGACGGCCTGGTCCTCCTCTTCTTTTGCCCCTCCAGTTGATGTACTCCTGCCCCGCAAGCTCTCGTCGTTCTCTGCTGCGAATTCTCGGGACTCACTCCTAAAGCCAACCACCCGCTTCAGGGTGTGCATGTGTGTCTCAGTGTGAGATATCCCACAGGCTGGCTTGTTCGTTGTCCTCACGCGAGAGAGAGAGAGAGAGAGAGAGAGAGAGAGAGAGAGAGAGAGAGAGAGAGAGCAGTCGATGTACTCCTGCCCCGCAAGCTCTCGTCGTTCTCTGCTGCGAATTCTGGGGACTCACTCCTAAAGCCAACCACCCGCTTCAGGGTGTGTATGTGTGTCTCAGTGTGAGATATCCCACAGGCTGGCTTGTTCGTTGTCCTCACGCGCGCGCGCGCGCGCGCGCGAGAGAGAGAGAGAGAGAGAGAGAGAGAGAGGCAGTTTCTATGTCAGCGAACGGCAAAATCAGGGGCGGTGAAACCGTGAAAGCACATCGAGTCCGCATCGACGGGATGAGCAGTTGACCTCACCGTGCGTGGTCAGCTCCCCTCCGCTTTGTTAATGAAGCTTCGATCCTCGAAAAGGGGAGACAGAGAAGCTTAGGGCGGTTCGAGCTTGACAGTTTAATTAGAACTTGTCTATTTTTGGAGTTGAGCAAGGTGCCAGGGTGGAGAAGCAATCCATGATCCATCAGATTCCATCTGTCGTTGACTCTCTGAGTCTCTGGTACGGGGTTAAGCGCATAGAGCCGAGGAGCGATCGGGGCGAGCACTACGTCTAAGAAAGCTTAGGAGAGTCAAACGGAGAATGAAGCTCCCCAGAAGTGTTTTCTCCTCCCTGCATGCGAAATACGCAAGAGTTCTGGCGGAGTCCAATGCATCTGGTGCCATACCAACAGCAGGGGGGGGAAGTGTAGCTGCTGCGGCTGCTGGCGCTGATGCATCCACTTCTCATCACGCTCAAAAGTAAGTGCTTCCTACTAACTGCGCCTGTCCATGTCTGTTTTATCTTTTCTCCTCCCCCCCGGGAGGCCCCTCTCTCTCTCTCTCTCTCTCTCTCTCTCTCTCTCTCTCTCTCTCTCTCTCTCTCTCTCTCTCTCTCTCTCTCT